TCCTGAGAAGCCACGGCCCGCCTATCGGTCAGGGTGGGCACATGGCTGTGGTGTTAGGAAGGTGCCCTGCTGGCTCCACGGCTAAGCGCTCAGCTGCTAACCCAAAGGCTGGCAGTTCGAAGCCACCCAGGGACTCCATGGATGCGAGACCTGGGGCTCGTGTCCATAATGCGTCCAGCTAGGAAACTACAGGGAAGCTCTACTCGGCCCCCTGGGTCAGTAATCCATGTGGGGTTGTGGGCGAGCTGGGACCCACTCGCAGGCACTGAGCTCCCAACCAAACCTTGCTACCCACAGGCCTGAGCTGCACCTCGCCCACAGCGTCAGCCTCCCGGGGAGAAGGAGTGGCAGGACTGTAGACTGCGGAGACTGGACAAAGAGATCTGAATTCCAGCCCTGCCTTCTGCCTCAGCCTGGTGACCTTGTCCCAGCTTTTATGTCCTTTTTTACCATCTAAAGATGAGGGATCGCAGTGTGAGGATTTGAGAAAACTGGCGTGTAGTTCTGACTGCCATCACTCCGATGCCCTGATTGCTCCTGGGAAAATGGTCTCCTGATAGCCTGGCGATCTGCCCCTGATGCACCGAGTGCACTTACACACACACACACACACACACACACACACACACACACACACACGCATGGGGCGCCATGCGTCAGTGACACCTGGTGAGCACTACTGCCTGGCTTTCCTGAACTTGTGACTCTGGACATCCCATCTTCTGCATGGCCCCTGCTCTTCCGAAGGCCCATTCCCGTTGCACAAGACTGCTCCACTCTGCTCCCAGCCCTCTCCCGGCGGCTCTGCCCTTGCATCTCACTCGGGGGAGTGAGTGATATGGGAATGTGTGCTTTTGACTATTTGCGCAGCCCAATGGGACAACACACTCCACAGAGCTCTGGCTTGGAAGGCAAGCGGATCACGCCTCTGACACCGGACCACGGAGACAGAGCCACCACGGGAGGAGGACGTGGAGTGCCTGACCAGAGGCCTCTCTGGAGGAATCGTCATTTCCATTGGCATGAGACCAGAACTGGAGCGTGCCCAGCTAGCACGACCAGACATTTGGGCCAAAGCTTCTTTTTTCTTTTTAAAATCATTTCATTGGGGCTCGTACAACTCTTATCACAATCCATACAGACATCCATTGTGTCAAGCACGTTTGTACATTTGTTGCCATCATCATTCTCAAAACATTTGCTTTTTACTTGAGCCTTTGGTATCAGCTCCTTATTTTCCGCCCTCCCTCCTCCACCCTCCTCTTTGATAATTAATAAATCATTATTATTTTGTCATATCTTACATTGTCCGACATCTCCCTTCACCCACTTTTCTGTTGTCTGTTCCCCAGGGAGGGGTTTTTGTAGATCTTGTGATCGGTTCCCCCTTTCTACCCCACCTTCCCTCCACCCTCCTGGTATCGCCACTCTCACCACTGGTCCTGAAGAGATCATCTGTCCTGATGTTTCCAGTTCCTATCTGTACCAGTGTACACCCTCTGGTCTAGTCGGATTTGTAAGGTAGAACTGGGATCATGATAGTGGTGTGGGGTGGGGGGTGGTGGGGGGGCGGTATTAAAGAACTAGAGGAAAGTTGTATGCTTCAGCATTGCTACACTGCACCCTGACTGGCATTGGCCAAAGCTTCTATAGAAGTTTCCTAAACAAATGGGAGAGAATGTAGAACAAGTTACCCAGTTCTCAAGGAATTCAGATTTTCTGGAGCCCCGGGGGCTGAATGAACCCCTAAAACTATTGTTCTGAGTTAACCTTTAAACCTGAAGCCACAACCCCGCCCCCAGAATCTCCTTAAAACCAAACAAGAGCTTAGCTTCACTAGAAATGAATGTCTACCGCGAGCCTGCTGCCTTTCCCCAGAGCTGTGTCTATTGGATCAACTGATGGCAGCGACTGATGAGCTTAGGTAAGAAATTGAGGAGGGGTGGGGCATGGGGAGGGACAAGGATGTTTGCACGCACCACTCAAAGAAAGTCAGTGCGTCCCCAATCAGTCATACATGAGGAAACTGTCCAGCTGGTTTGTGTGCTGTGTGTATTCTCAACAAGGACGATGAGCAGAGCGAAGACCAGCCTCTGACCAAGTGACGAGGGCAAAGTCCACCCTTGGAAAGCCCGCCGGATCTCCCTGAGTGCACCAGGCTCGCATGTTTTAATTTACGTCTTTGAAGAACCTAAAATCCTCCCTGAATTTATGTCTCTCACGCAGGGCTGCCTCTCACATAGTGCTTATTGATTCTGCGCTTCCGCCTCCATGTTCCTAGGTGGGAGAACATTCTGGAGCCGCTGGGACTGGCACTTGTTGTTGATTGCTTGCATGCTGTCTTGGACAGGGTCTGGTGCTGACTCCTCATCTGAAATGACAGCAGGCTGCCGAGGGTGGTCCTCTCCCACACTTAATAGCCCGCCATCCCCTCCTGCTCCGGGCTACGAGAGCGTGTAGACGTTGTCTCTGTGGGCCGGACTTCTGAGATCACTGTGCCCCTCAGGGAGGGAGAGGGACGGAGAGAGAGCCTCACCCCAGGGATGAGCAGGACTCTGGGACCCCTCGTGGGGACACCTTGCCCCTCTTTCTTCTCTGCGACACTCCTCCCCACCCCACCCCCGTGGATCAACAAGTGGGAAGGTCATCCCTGAGTTATGAGGGGGCTCTTCGTTCCTTTGTGGGCTTGATACTTGTTGCTACCTCTGCCCGAAGCCCCTCTGACACTCATGATTTTAGGGAACCCACCTCAGGCTGTGGCCTGCTATCTGGAGGGACTGGTCCCTGGAGAAGGACATCGCAAAGCAGAGGGTCCGGGAAAAGGAGGAAGACAGTGGCTGCAATGACGGGCTCAACTGTGAGAACCCTCGTGAGGACGGGCGGCAGGGCCGGGGGCTGAGTTCTGCGCACGGGTCACTGTGGCAGGTTTAACGACCACCACTGACTGTGTCCGGGGTGGTTCCCAGGTGTCCTAAAGAACAGCTTCTATGACAAAGCGGGGCAGTCTGTTGTTACCCCATCGAGGACCTACGGCCACATGTGGCGGGAAAGAGTCTTGCCCGCTGCACGCTGCTTGTCTTTCCCTCTGTGCCCAGCGGGCTGTTGTAACGTGGCCCACACCGGGTGGGTCCCAACTGTAGCCCGCGAAGCTGGCAGTCAGTGAGCACAGTCCTTTTTAAATGCCCCGTTTCCTGCGGAAAGCAGCTTCGGGGTTGACTGGCAGCGCAGAGGAGGGGGAGGAGGAGAGGACGCGTGGAGCCCCCCCCCCCCAATGTGTGCATGTGTGCGTGTGTCTGTTCCCCTGAGCCTGGGCTGCCATCCAGAAGGAGTGAGTGACGTGTGGAGCCTGTGATCAACAAGGGCTGTTCGTAGCTGGGTGGTGCGGGGCTGCGGCTCATTAATCCGAGTGAGGCTTCGTGAGAAACACCAGCCGGTGTCTCAGGCTGTCGGGAGACACGGGGATTACAGGATGCGCCTGTGATATTCTAGGAGCCTGGGGTGCAGTGGGTGAGGAGGCATGGGGCTGCCAACCCCAAGGTCAGCGATTCAAACCCAATTGCTGCTCCTCAGGAGAAGGATGCGCTGTCTGGGCCTGTACACACGTCCGGTCCTGGAGCCACCAAGGCCGTTCTGCCCTGTCCAGTCGGCTCACTGTGAGTCAGCAGTAGGTTACGTGGGTTTGGACCATGACAACCTGACTCGTGTTTAAGGCATCCTCTATAGCTCACGCTCCTTCGTCAATGGAAAATCAAGGACAACGGCCCAGCCTTTGTTCCGGCCACGGCAGCCCACGGTGCTGGGGCTTCGCGGCAGAGGAGGCAGCTCCAGGGCTCGTGGTGGCCAGCATCACGGAGGCAGAGCTGCCGGCTGGGCCTGAACCACTGACCTCTAAGCCAGGAACTGAGTGCAAGCAACTAACACCACGCAGGACCTTGTTGTTGTCGATGGAACTCGGCTCTCAGGGACCCTGGGGGACAGAGCAGAATTGCCCCGCGGGGTTTCCAAGGCTGTGAGTCATTCCATGCGGGAGCGGACTGCCGCATCTTTTTCCCCCGCAGAGCAGCGGGGGTGGGTGGGGTGGGAGTGTCCAACCCCAGCATCTTAGGTCAGCAGCAAAGCTCTTTAACCACTGCGTTACCACGCGCGGCTCCTTTAGTGGCCGCTGACCTATAGAGACGGTGCCTGCTTCATTTATTTAGGGACATGGAACCTCTTTCCAACCTGTCATCTCATTTCCCTCCCCGACAACATTGCACCTGCCCTTCGGATCGCTTGGCTGGAGGATGGGGTGGCCTGTCTGGCTTTGGTGCATTCTGACGTGCAGAATTAAATTTGGAAGGCTGTCCTGTCTTCCCACTGCCTCTGGGGCTGTTTCCGGGTGGAAGACCTGGCATGGCAGTCTAGGAAGCAGGCCGTGGCTGATGGAGATGTCTGAATGCTGTGAGGTTGACCCACGTGGACATAGACACCAAGTGAGCAGAGAAGTGGTGCCATAGATAGGCTGGACACAGGGTCGCCCCCCAACTCCAGACTCACTGCAGAGTCCACCTTGACTCCCTGTGACCCTCTAGGACAGCCGGGAACTGCCCACGGGTCCCCGGGTTATCAGCCTTTACAGGAGCAGACGACCCCATCTCTCCCCCCCAGAGCAGCAGGTTCAAACGCCTGACCTTGTGGTCAGCAGCTCAGCTGGGGTTCCACCGGGGCTCCTTAGTGCTGCCACAGCCAGTCCGACTGTGAGGGCACACGGTATTAACAACACGGGTCTGCGCATCCCACGACTGGGCGAGGGGTGCCTGGTCAGCAGGTGCCTCTAAAGGTCACACCGGTGGCATCGCCAGCCAGCCATCATAAAGGGGTGACCATTTCTCATGCCTGGGGTCCCCCGTTCTCCTCTCTCCTTGGGGGGTTTCACACTCAAGACTGACCACAGTGAAGGCTGGCCCCAGAGTTAAAGGAGCGCTGTCCTGATCATCCATGATCTTTCTCCCTGCAGCCTACCCAAGGGCCCGATCTGGGTCCAGCCTCCACCTGGAAGACCCGGGGCCCGTTCTGCCCCCGTGAGCCCTGCTGCGGGGCCCAGCCACTCACCCCTTGCCTGTCCCCCCACGGTCCACCACGATGTCCGCCGAGGGGCCTCCAGCAGGATTGGCAGGGCGCCCGGACAATGGGACAACGTTCCTCGAGCTCCTGCCCACGTCCCTGTCCACCTCGGTGGACCCGTCCCCAGGCCATCTGTCCAGCGTGTATGTCTACGTGTCCATCTTCCTAAGCCTCCTGGCCTTCCTGTTGCTGCTCTTGCTCCTGGCCCTCCAGAGGCTGCGGAATCTCATCTCGTCTGGTGCGCCCTGCCCCGAGTTCCCGAGCGAGGTGGGGAGCTCCTTCACCAACCTCGAGGTCACCAGCATCTCCTCTGGCCACTCCAGCCTCTCCAGCCTCTCGCCCTGAGGACAGGGGGCTATGCCCGGGACCTCCCGGCAGCTGCCCCTGCGCCCCAGTGCAGGGCTGCGTTCCACCGACCGGCCCGCACGCGCTGTCCCCGGGGTACGATGCCTGCTGTTGGTGACGGAGGACAGACGAACGCACGTGTCCACACCCCGGACACTCCAGCAGCCCACCCGGGATCCCACCCCTGGGGACAAGGACCTGCCACAGAGGAAACAAGATGCCCAGACTGACTGTCACTAGGACGTCAGCCGGCGGGGCTAAGCAGGGGAGCACTCAGGTTCAAAGCCAGCAGCTGCTCCCAGGGAGAAAGATGAGGCTGCCTGCACCTGCGGACCGACAGCCCGGGAACCCCTGGGAGCACAGCCGCCCTGCGGGTGGGACACGGCCCCAGGCCACGTTCAACGGGGGACGTGGCCCCCCTCCCCGCCCTGCCCTGAAAGTGGTGTGTGGGTCGAGGTGTCCTGTAGCTTTTCTAAACCGGGGACAAGAATGCCAACGTTTGACTGAGTGGATGGTCCCCTCGTGCTGGAAGCGTCTCGGGATCCCACTCTGGGTACCAGACCCCAGGATGTCGTTGCTCCTGCCTGCCTCCCCTCTTCCTGCTGGGGCAGCTGGGCCACGTCAGGGGCAGCTGGGCTCTGTGGTATCGGCGTCATGAGGCCCGGGACCAGCATCAGAAAGAGACCCGAGGAAACCTTAATTTCGCGGCTGTGATCGCTCCCAGGGGGCACGGCTTTGCGCTGCAGTTCACAACTTGGCTGGGGAAAGGCTTTGTTGTCTCCATCGCAACCCCCACAACCTCACAGCAGGTGACATCTGAGCTCTGAGATGTTGGGGACACCACCACTCACATCTGGATGGGCGCCTTAGGGACCGCTAGCCCAGCCAACGGTCATCCTGACGGACAGCGATGCTATGGGACAGGGCAGAGCTGCCCCTGTGGGCTCCGTGGCTGTTCTCTCCTGCGATGGCTACTGCACGTGCGGGGCTGGGCGGTCAGTTGACGCGTGCTGCCTTTACACACCGCCACGTCACACTGATGCCCAGATGTGAGCCATTGTTACATCTGCAGGCCCGGGCTTTGGGGAACCCCGGACATGGCCGTGGGCTGGTTGACCAAGGATGACAGGCCTCGGGCCTTTTGTCCTTGGGGTGAGGCACCAGGGTGGGGCCAGGCTTGACCTACGGAAGAAGTCACAAGAGGGAACAGAACCTGCCGCCATGGAATTGGCTCAACTCAGCCTCCAGCCCTGGGGGACAGAGCAGAGCCATCCCATGGGGTCTCCTAAGCAAGCAGACAGCAGGTCTTTCTCCCACAGAGCCACTGGGCGGGTTCCTACGACTGACCTCGCTGTGAGCAGCCCAATGCTCACCCATGGTGCCACCAGGGCTCCGGTGACTGGATTGGTTGGAAGACCCACGGGATGTCACAGGGTGAACCCCTGGCCCTGGACTGATGGACGTTGAGGACTGATGGTGGTGGTGGAGGGTCAGACGGCTCCTCCGTGGTGCAGAATGAAGCATCCCGTGACTGCGCGTTTGCACCCTGGGTCTGGCAGTAAGGAGCGCCCAGGCCTGAGGCGGTGTGGCCCGGCTGTGACAGTTCAGGTTCTGGGTCAACTGTCTGCGTTGCGATTCTCAGAGGGTTAGCACATTGGCAGTTATCTAACGGTGTTATCTGGGTTTATCTAATGGTTTCCATCAGGCAGGTATGTGGTGCTGGTCATTTGGCAGTGGCTGAGGGTATCACCTGGGAGTTATCTCACAGTATCATGTGGAATGATGAGTGGTGTCAGCCGGCAGTCATGCGATGATGTCACCTGACAGTCATGTGATGATGTCACCTGACAGTCATGCGATGATGTCAGCCGGCAGTCATGCGATGATGTCAGCCGGCAGTCATGCGATGATGTCACCTGATAGTCATGTGATGATGTCAGCCGGCAGTCATGCGATGATGTCGCCTGATAGTCGTGTGATGATGTCAGCTGGCAGTCATGTGATGATGTCACCTGGCAGTCATGTGATGATGTCAGCTGGCAGTTATGTCACGACGCAGTCATTCTCCATGTTGTGACCTGATGTGGTCACCTCCACTTCCACAGCGCACAGGTCTTTGCACAGCAGCCTGGTGCCTGGGACCTCAACCTGCTGATGGGAGAGGAAGAGATGGGTGGAAGCTACCTAGCATCCCAGAGCCATCTGTGCTAACACCCCTGTGCTTTGATGAATCTTTGCTATTTGGGTTACTAAGGAAGGAAGGAAGGAAACGGATGGTTTTAAAACAAACACAAACACACACGTTTGCCCCACAGGAGGACAATCTGAGTGTGGTCTCGTCTAACAGGTGGCTCTATACTCTCTCCTTCTGGAAGAAAGGTTCTGGCTGTCAAAGCACTCAGACGTGAATAAAATGAAGTCTCTGTGGCCTTGCTCTCTGTGTCCCCATAGAAACAGGGTGGCGGCGACAGGCTGAGGTGGGCT